AGAAACCTTCTCCAGGTAAGCCATGTCTCCGTACAGGAGGCGATTCCGCAGGAAAAACCCGCACTTGATGCTTCCAAAAGCTACGTCTGGGTGAATCCCAACAGCCCCAGAGCCTCTCAGCTCCGCAGGAAGTCGTACGATTCGAGGTATTCTTCCCTTGTTAAACTAGCCGAGTCTCTGGACGCATGTGCCCCCAACGAGGCTGATGTTTGCGCTCTTTTAACTGGGTTTGCTGGTAAGCTCTTTGAGCAAGATGCTGTTGTTACCCTCAATAACATGACCAACCCAGAAACTGCTCCCCTTGTGCTCAATCATCTACTCCAGACTCTAAAACTTAGCAGGGAAGTGATTCTCTACAACGTCACCATGAAGGTGTTCAGGAAATGCAAGGATCTCGGCAAGTCCGAGAAGCTGTTCGGCGAAATGCTCGAGAGAGGGGTCAAGCCGGACAATGCAACCTTCACGACGCTCATCAGCTGTGCTAGGCAGTGTGGTGAACCTAAGAGAGCTGTTGAGTGGTTTGAGAAAATGCCTCTCTTTGATTGTCCTCCTGATAATGTCACCTTGGCTGCTATGATCGACGCTTATGGGCGTGCTGGTAACGTTGACATGGCCTTGACCTTGTATGACCGTGCAAGGACCGAGAAATGGCGCATTGACCCTGTTACCTTTTCAACTTTGATTAGGATCTATAATATGTCTGGGAACTACGATGGGTGTCTCAATATCTATGAAGAGATGAAGTCCCTTGGGGTGAAGCCAAATCTAGTTATTTACAATAGGCTTTTGGATTCTATGGGTAAAGCCAAGAGGCCTTGGCAGGCCAAAATCATCCACAACGATCTTATTAGCAATGGCTTAACACCCAATTGGAGTACTTATGCTGCTCTTATTAGAGCCTATGGTAGAGCTCGCTATGGCGACGATGCACTTGTTATCTACCGTGAGATGAAGGAGAAAGGAATGGATCTTACTGTAATTCTTTACAACACTCTCTTGTCCATGTGTGCTGATATCGGATATGTGGACGAGGCTTTTGAAATTTTCCAAGATATGAAGAGTTGTGTGACTTGTGATCCTGATAGCTGGACATTCTCTTCTCTAATCACTGTGTACTCTTGCAGTGGGAGGGTTTCAGAGGCTGAGGCGGCTCTTCTTCAGATGAGAGAAGCTGGTTTTGAGCCTACTCTTTTTGTTCTTACGTCGGTTATCCAGTGTTATGGGAAAGCCAAGCAGGTAGATGATGTTGTGAGGACATTCGATCAAGTCTTGGAACTGGGGATAACTCCGGACGACAGATTCTGTGGCTGCCTTCTAAACGTAATGACCCAGACACCGAGGGAGGAAATCGGGAAACTCATTGGCTGTGTCGACAAGGCTAAGCCAAAGCTTGGTCAGGTGGTAAATATGTTGGTGGAGGAGGAAAACTGCGAGGAAGGGGTGTTCAAGAAGGAAGCGTCTGAGTTGGTTGATTCCATTGGCCCTGATGTAAAGAAAGCATATTTGAATTGCTTGATTGATCTTTGTGTTAACCTCAATAAGGTGGAAAGAGCTTGTGAGATCCTACAGCTGGGGCTTGAGTACAACATTTATTCAGGTCTCCAATCCAAATCAGCCACTCAATGGTCCTTGCATCTGAAAAGCCTCTCCCTCGGGGCAGCCTTGACCGCTCTTCATGTTTGGATGAACGACTTGTCAGAGGCGGCTCTGGAATCCGGAGAAGAGTTCCCTCCGTTGCTTGGAATCAACACTGGACATGGGAAACACAAATACTCAGACAAAGGTCTTGCAGCTGTTTTTGAGTCTCACTTAAAAGAGCTAAATGCTCCTTTCCATGAAGCCCCCGATAAGGTTGGCTGGTTTTTGACTACCAGTGTTGCGGCAAAGGCATGGTTGGAGTCTAGGCGTTCATCTGGAGGAGTTTCTGCGTAGCTCTAGTCTTTGGTATGTTGATTAGCCTGTGTGGCTTTGAGCTTTATTATCTATTTACCTTTCTTTATCCTGATACCGGTATTTTCTGGATCAGGAAAGATTTTGTAATGCTAGCAAACTCTCAGGTTATATACATTTGAAACAATTTAGAAAGCTTCTATGTGTCCCATTCTCCTTAGTTCATGGTATTCTCTTCATATCCTCCTATTGACTTTAAATTTGGGCGGTGGCAATTGACTTTTGCCTCCTGAAGAATGCTCTATTGTTTTCTGTTTCATTTTACAAGTACTATAATTATTGAAGACTCAGTTTGACATTTGCATGTGGAACGAGATATGTTTTTCAAGTCCTAGTACATAGGCTGACCGTAACAAGTTAGTGGGTGTATGATGGTCTGCACGTTTGTCAAAGAACTGAATATAAATTGTTTTGAGAGTCGAGGCAATCAACACATCACTAGAGGAGGCATCATGGGAAACTGTATTCACACATTGCTCTGCAAGCACGGAAACAAAGTTGCAGATGACTGGTTGGATGAGGCATCAACAGAGAAGGCCAAGAAGGAGTCACCTCGGGAGGCAGCTGAGCAAAAAACAGAGAGAAGGCGGTGCGTAAAGATCACTCTGACTAGGAAGCAGCTCGAGCTGCTGCTGCTGCTGAACAAAGGAGCAGAGGGTATTTCCTTTCAGCTCCCAGAGAGTTTTGGGAGCTGCAAGCGGAAATGGAAGCCATCTTTGCAGACAATAGTAGAGGTAGGTGGATAACTTATGATATAGTCATTTTGCTGTATAATTTTGAATCTCGATGCAGAAGGAGAGAAGTTTGATAACAAGTCAGCCTAGTAGTTGGATTCTCCTCTGTAAAATTTGTGTTTAGAAGAAGATCTTGCGACTTCTGAATCTGTAAAATGTTCAAATTCACAGCTCTTATAATGGGGTTTGTTTTTGGAAACCTATTAATGGAGAATGTCTAATCACAGTTATATATGATGGATGGTAAAGACTTTTTGAGAGTGTTTACTTGTGTAAAAAAAAACTTTTGAATGTCGCTTTTACAATAATGTAAATGAAGAAGAGAAAGTGGATGCCTTTCCATTGGAAAAGGAAGAAAATTTGCAGTGTGATGAGATCCATATTCCTTCATTATTCTCTTTAATTAAACAACAAAGTCTTCTTATCTCTATGTCTGGTAATCAACCTCAAGAAGAAAAGAGACAAAACCCATCCCCCGGGACAAAGCCATCTATCTATCTCCAAATGACGATTATGTCCCTCTGCATTCTCTAAACTGGGGGTAAACATGTAATTCCGGATAGATTAGTAATGTAGAGGAAAACAAAGGGAATTTTCCTCATCAAGCACACAGGCAGCCACTGGAAAAAAGGATTTGAGAACTTTGCGTTGATCAACAAAGCCAACCTACTCTTGACATTTAAACCATCTCTATCTCTTTGCTCATAACTTGGCTTCAACACA